AGGGAGGTAATCGGCAGGAGGCGGTCTCTCAGGTACCCAGGTCCGATGCCATGTAGGGCTTTATAGGTAGCGACCAGCACCTTGAAGCGTATCCAGAGACCAATCGGTAACCAGTGCAGCTTGCGGAGGATAGGTGTGACGTGAGTGTACCTGGGTGCACCCACAATCGCTCGCGCGGCTGCGTTCTGGACTAACTGGAGTCTTCAAACACTCGGGAATGGGGGAATGTAACCTAGATATATACTTAACTAGGTAGAGAGCTAATGTTCTTAACATGGAATAAAGAAGGGAGGTGTGTGTGTGTGTGTGTGTGTTTGTTTGTTTATTTGTTTGTTTGTTTCCTGGCTATAATATTAACCAGCCAAATATCTTGGCTCTCCTGTGTACCTCGAATTCGACGTTTTAATGCTTTCTATGGTTTTTAACGCTTTCGCCTATTTTTCTTATTGTTTCTTGTTTTAAAATGTTTTTTAAATTTTTTTTTAAAGGGTAGATCTTTTGTTTTTAATTGTAGATGTTCCAGATTGGAAGCCGCCCAGAGTCATTTACTGAGATGGGTAGTTACCGAAATCGAATAAACAACTGACCAACCAACCAAACCCACCCACCCACCCACTCATCAACTCAACTCATCAACTCAACTCACCAACCAACCAACCAACCAACCAAACCGCACAGGGAAAACTTTCCGGCCGGCCCAAGAAGAGAAAGGCTTTCATAAATAACTTGTTAGATAACACTTCCAGATGTTGACGGGCATCTGGGACTGTTTGTTCCCGCCCAGGCAAGCCTGCGCTTGCCCCTTCTATATTGTTCGATCACCAGGCTGCAATCCCAGAGCTGCATCTTCCTATAAATAGATGACGGCATCTGTGGCTCGGGCCTTCTGATCTCCGTGATGTAGCTGGCAGAGGGCTGGGGGGAGGGCAGGGATGAAGCCTATGGCGCCTTTCCCTACCCAGCTGGTTTTTTTCCTTGCTAGTTCCTAAATGGGGATGTTGTTTTCTGATGGATCGTCTGTCTGGTGTCAATCCCTGATTATCTGGGTTTTGACTGCTGGAGTGGATGTGCTCTGATTTAAACAAGGAACAAACCCCACTTCCTTCTAGCACTGCTGATGTTACCAAGACAGGTAATGTAATGTCTTCCTTGGTAGTTCCTAGGTCAGGGTATGGATTTCTGCTGGATTGTTGGTCTGGTGTTAATCCCTGCTTATCTGGGGGTTGGCTGCTGGATAGCATGCTTTCTGGTCTTAAAACACCACCCTCACTAGCCCTGATTACGTTACCTAGTCAGACAATGCAATGTCTCCAAAAAAACTACCAAGCTCAGAGACCACCAAGGCCTCCACAATTCAATCCTGAGCTACAGAAATTAACTTCGCTGTTCCCTTCCCACCAAAGGTGGTTCCTATTTCTCTACTTGCATTTTTGACCTGCTTTCGAACTGCCAGGATGGCAGAAGCTGGGACAAGTCACGGGAGCTCACTCCGTTACGCGGCATGAGGGATTCAAACGGCCAAACTGACTGAAGCAAAAAATAAAATCCATTTCTAACGATATTCCTGCCGTCTGGTTTTGAAAATATCAGCTCCTTGTCCGGAGAAACGCCACATTTCAGCTCTGTATCTTTTGAAGAGTCAACAACTTAAGTAGGTAGCTTCACCACTTTAATTTCCCTGGGGAGTTAACTTTCCTTGTTCCAATTACTGGAACGACTCTACCATTCTAGCCTGCCTTAAATTCTTAAAGAGCTCCCTATGTTTCATTTCTCAAACTATATTGATCATTTTATTCCTCCCTTCTCTCCACCAGTTAAAATTTTGCAAATTGCTTTATTGGTAGCATTCATGATGCAGCAGCTGGTCAAAATAAGTCAGATTTTTTTTGGGGGTGTGTGTGTGTGTCAAATTATTCTCCAAAGCACCAGAGGCAAGACAAGAAACAATGGATGGAACCTAATCAAGGGGAGAAGCAACTTGGAATTAAGGAGAAACTTCCTAACAGTGAGAACAATTAACCAGTGGAACCCCTTGCCACCAGAAAGCGTGGGTCATTCATCACTGGAGGTTTTTAAAGAAGATGTTGGATAGCCATTTGTCTGAAGTGGTGTAAGGCTTCCTGCCTAGGCAGGGGGTTGGACTAGAAGACCTCCAAGGTCCCTTCCAACTCAGTTATTCTATACCTTTGACTGGATATCTAGTCGTACTTGAGAAAACAACAACGGAGGCCCCCTTGAACCGTAAGCAATGTTTAGAGAGAAAGAAAGGCGACACTTTTTTCATCCCTGCCTTTGTTCTTTCTCTAAAAATGTCTTTTTTTCTTTCCGCTCAACATTTATTACAGTTCATCGATCCTGGGTTTCTCCCCCTGCACAAACCCATCTCTGTGGCTTCCATCCTGGCTCTTCCTTCCCAACCTCAGAACCTGCTTTCTGAAGCAGCTTGGAGCCGATGCTCTCCGTTAATAGGGAAAAAATAATAAGAAATGTTCTGCCTTATCAGCTGCACGTAGCACCAAAATATACAAATCTGCAGCATTCCAGGTTCCTTCTGGTGTTAGCCTGCTTCCTCCAGGATATACTTTTAAAATTTCCAGACATGTTCAATACCAAAAGCTAGAAGGACTTTTCCCTTCTGCAACCCACTCGCTAATAATGTTTTTATCGCGGAGGGCTTCGCACCTTCCAGCTAATGCTAGATGGTCAGATGTGAGAACTTGACATTGTACAGACAGTGTTAAACAGGGATGAACCAGGGAGGACAATTGCCTTGACATGTGTCAATTATTTCACGCCGTTCTGATTCTTAATTTTTTAAAAAAATAATTGGGAAGGTAAAGTATTGTGACAATGGCAACACTAAAGAGGAAGTAACTCAGGGGTGGGCTTCAAAAATTTCAGCAATGGGTTCTCTGCCCAGTTGCTGGGTGGGCGTGGCCATGGTGGGTGTGGCCTAGTCGGCCTCCTGCACCATGTGTGGGGGGGGCATTTTCCCCTCCCCGGCCTCCGGAGGTTTTCCTTGACCCTCTGGGAGGGCAAAAACGGCCTTCCCGGGCTCCAGAGGCCCATTTCTGCCCTTCTTGAACTTCTGGTGGGCCCGTTTTCCAACCTCCCCGAACTTCAATGCGTGGCCTGCATTTACCTGCATCCCAAATGGGCTGCATGGGGGCTCCTGGGAGGGGCGGGGTGGGCAGGGCCAGCCAGGAGTGGGATTTGGGGGTTCTCCGAACTGCACAGAATCTTAGCTAGAGGTTCTCCCGAACCAGGGGTGAAATCCAGCAAGTTCTGGAAAACCGACAGCGGAACTTTTGAGTAGTTTGGAGAACCGGCCAATGCCGCCTCTGGCTGGCCCCAGAGTGGGGGGGGGAGGGAGTGGGGATTTTGCAGTATCCTTCCCCTGCCACGCCCACCAAGCCACGCCCACAGAACCGGTAGTAAAAAAATGTGGATTTCACCACTGTCCCGAATCCCTGTGAACCCCCAGCAGCCCTCCCCTTTAATTACCTTGCCTTGCTCTACGAAGTAACAAGAGAAGAAAATGCTTATAGCTCCAGGGCTGAACTACGGGGTCCTTGCTCTCGGAGCTTGGTTGTTTTCTTGCAGACGTTTCAATTACCTACTAGCTAACATCATCAGTGCTAGTGAGTGGGATGTGTGCTCCCTATTTATATACAGTGCCGTGTCCTGCCAGTGTTTGTGGGAGTGTGTTTTCTTCTTCCTTAGTTCTGTGATTAGGGTATTGTTTTCTGCTTGACTGTTTGTCTGGCCTTAATCCCTGCTTATCTGGATGTTGGCTGCTGGAGAGGGCCTTTTCTGGTCTTAAACAAAGAGCAAAACCCACTCCTTCTACTAATGAAGTTTTCATTGTCCTCCCCTTCAATTCTTTTTCTTCCTCCTCCCCTTCACAGTCCTTTACAATTGATATTGTTTTATTTGTTTCCTAGTATAATCTGATTGCTTATTAATAACCCATGACTATCACTGTGTTGTATCTTATGGTTCTTGATGAATGTATTCTATTTTATTTATCTTTATGTACACTGAGATCATCTGCAGCAAAGTCCAATTCCTTGTGTGTCCAATCACACTTGGCCAATAAAGAATTCCATTCCATTCTATTTCTGTTCTATTCTACATACAGGCAGTTCTGGTTCTTGTGGATCTTGGACTCCCAGTCCATTCATACCTACCTACTGATGTGGGCATTTCCCCCCACTGCAAAATGTTTTCTTTGGAGAAGTGCCCATAGATGTCAAGATAGACTCCTTCATCTTCATAAGCCAGTAGAAGTTCCATCCCGCTGGTGTTCCGGAGAATGATAATAGCATGCGGATGAATATTTCCCTGGATCTGGAATAACATTTGATGAAGATTTACATCACGGAACAAGTTACAGCTTAAGTAACTGCAGTCCATCAATTTAGGTATCCTGACACTGCATTAAAAATCAACCAGCTTGGAGATCTGAGAAGCGAAAGAGATTTATGTCTTTGAAAAAGTCGGTGTACTTTCTTCCGTCTTTAGCGCCGATACAAAGGAAAAGACATTTCTTTCTTTCTTTTTTAATATCAAGTTTGAGCTGCTACCTGAAAAAAGGGTGTTTCTTTTATCCCTCTTTAAATATCAAAGATCGTCTCAAAGCTTCTATTCAGTATTTGCCTTTGAATTCGGCGAGTATCATGTTGTGAAAATAAATAAAAACCCAGGGTAATTTGGATGCAGTAGGACGTGCAATATAGCATTGTAAAAATGATTGTAAAGGGCACTTTAGCATAGAAATTATCCTGTTAAAAATTCTTACGAACATTACAGAATTATAGAAAACAGTCTAAAAATAAACGACGATAAAGCAATAGATTGCATAAAAAAGAAGAAGCCGACCGAGATTATTCTAATGATAAAGTTTTTGTTTTTCAGTTCGGTTCTCAATCATTTCCTAACACGGCATACATAACTCATAAGCCGAGGTAGAGAGGGCATCGTGTTCTATAACTTTGCATTAATTCACCAGAAACTACTAAAACTTCAGTTCTTTCTGAAAATGCGGTGGGGAAAAAAAATAGAATCACAAAATTGGTCTACGAGATAGTTCGAAAGGTGATTCGGCTAAATTGCAATAGTGAAGAGTTTTGTGGGCATTTTATTTCCCAATATACGAGGGAAGCAATATAAGCAAGAAATTAATCCATTGTGTGTTTTTAAAAAAATACACTACATGACTTCTATTTCAACAGATCTGTAAGCAGAGCAACAATACCAGGAAAGCAATTTTCATTACTAGAATTTATTCCAGCAATGTTATAGGCCTAAACCCAATCTTGACAGAAGGAGAGAAGCCACTTCATTTTATTATACGTATATTTTTACTTCATCCTTACTTTTTACCTCTTCAATGTGTGTCTCTGGAATTGCCTGTTTTTTCTACATTTTGCCTCAACAAACCTGATGGCCACACTCAAGACTGCATGGCAGAAAGTTTTGCGACACACAGAAAAAAATTGTGCCTCAGTCTGGAGGTTTTTTTTAGACGTCTGATAGACTTAGGAGAATCAAGGGAGAATGGTGTCTGAGAGAAACATTATTATCCAGAGAGAGAACATTGACACCTGCTCCTCCCTAGAAGGACAGAAGGACATCGCCCATGGGATGTCCACCAGAGTGATCTGAGAATTGGGAGTGACATTGTCCCAACATGATTGCCAACGTCCAATAATTGAAACGGGGGGAGGAGAAGGAGGAGGAGGAGGAGGAGGAACTGGGTATGTCTAGTTTAATGGAAAGAAGGACTAGGGAAGACATGATAGCACTCTTCCAATATCTCAGGGAAAGAAGAGGGAGTCAAGCTGTTCAAAGCACCTGAAGGCAGGGAGAAGATGCAATGGATGGAAGCTAATGAAGGAGAGAAGCAACCGAGAACTAAGGAAAAATTCCCTGACAGTGAGAACAATTAATCAGTGGAACGACTTGCCTCCAGAAGTTGTGAATGCTGCAACAGTGGAAGGTTTGAAGATGATGTTTGAACAAATAACCATTTGCCTGAAGTGGCGTAGGGTTTCCTGGCTAAGCATGGGGTTGGACTAGAAGACCTCCAAGGTCCCTTCAAACTCTGTTATTCTATTCTATTCTATAGAAGAAGAGGAGGAGGAGGAGGAGGAAGAAGAAGAAGGAGAAGGAGAAGGAGAAGGACAACATTAGGGGAGGTGATCAAATCAGATGCTAAGGAGGGTCCGCGGCCTCTTTTCACCTTTCAAATCAACATCTGGGAAGAAGGCCATTAGATTGGGGTTAAACCTCCTCCCCACAGGTTCCTTTAAATGAAACCTCACCAGGTGGGAGATTCCTTGCGGGGACCTGATCTCCTATGTGCACTTCTCCTTTCACCTACAGCAAGTAGCTCCTTTGAGAAGAGCTGGAATTTAAATCAGGATAATGGCCATTCTTTTCCCCCAACATCACACTGTCCTCGGATCTGGTTTGGTGCAGAGAGAAAAATCCCTATTTAATTTGGCCTAAGCCCCAGTGGTTCCCCGGTTGAGTTCCAGCTACGTTCCAGCTTTACACCCCCCCCCCACCCTCTCTAAATAAATACACACATTGCTTGAAGGTCATCTAGAGGCTTATATATAAGACGCGTTAAAACCCACAGATAAAAACACACGCAGGAGAAACAAGAAGTGCTTAAAAACACCGAAACAAAACCCTCCTTGGCACACCTTCCATCCAGATGCAGAGGAACCTTTCGGAGTTCATGCTATAAAATTTTCAGAGCGCTTTAAGCCATTTAGAATATATAACGTCTCAAATCCTAGCAGCCTTCTCAAGAGAGAGAGAAAGAGAAAGAGAGAGAAAGGATTTTCAGCAGCATCCATAAAGTGAACGCTCCACTGTTATAAAAAAAACCCCAGAAGGTAAAATTAATTCTGCAGACAATCCCACCTCTACAATACCAGAGACGCAAGCTGCTCAAAATCTAATTAAGTTGGAATGGATGGCTACTATTTGTGTGTATATATATACACACACACAATGAACAAGCCCAGGACTGCAAGGCACCCAGGCTATTAAAGGCCTTCATGCAATTCTTAAGCTTAGAATAACTTTATTGTCACTTTAAATGTACACGAATCGGCATACATTAGAATGAAATTTCATTGCCTGCAGCTCTCAAAGGGTCACCACCTCCAATGTACACTACATAAAGTTAAGAAAAAAAATTATGCACATACCCACATATATTATAGGACACCGAGAAACAACACAGTCTAGTTCGGATGTGCACACGTGCATGGCGAGAGAAACGAATCTTGTGAGTGTGCCAGACGGATGGCACAGGGAACAAAACTCTTAACAGAATCTGGCAGTCCTGCTAGAAATACTTTGAAACCTCCTCCCAGAGGGAACCAACAAAAACAGACCATGAAGGGGTGGTGTGGGGTCTCTAACAATGCTTCGAGTCTAAGCACAGAATGCTTATAAGCAGCATCCTGAATGACGGGAAGCGAGCTTCCTATAATCTTCTCTACTGTCCTCACCACTCTTTGTAGGAGCTTTCTATCTGAGGCCCTGCCAAACCAAACAGGGATGCGGTTTCTTAAAATGCCTCTAAGTGAATCTTGCAAAATAAGGAAAAGCTCAAGACACTCCAGTTGCTGGACGTACTTGCCCACTCATGTAGTCTGGGATCACTGCCGCAACTATCCGCAACACCAAAATAGGGATCCAGAGCCGGAAAGCTATTTTAATACGCTGCCTCGGGTTGAGCTGCATGAGCAATCGAAGCAGAGGAGCCGAAAGTGAGAAGACAGAGAGAGAGAGATGGAGGGAGAGAGGGAGAGACAGAGACACAGAGAGAGAGAGAGACAGACGGGTTCAGAGGTTCAGAGTCACCGTATTCAGTCCGTTGGTTTTCAAAGTTGCCGGCTCCAAATGGAGAATTTCAGAAGACAATTATTCACTTCTCCCATCCTGACAGCTACAGCTCAGGAGGAGGAGGAGGAGGACAGTGATCTTCTTCAATTTCTACCCTCTTGAGGGAAGGTGTATTTTTAGCGCGTTCCATCCTAACAGTGACAAGCGAGCAGCAATCGGAGCCAGGCGTCTCCTAGGGGAGACCCCCTATTGAGGGCAACCGATGAGGAAAGATTGCTCCTCATACAGATAATTGAATGGGGAGTTTGCTGCCGAAGCCCATCTTTCCTTTAGAAACATCATCCCCTTTTCATTGGCTGGTGGACTTTTTATTCAGGACATCCGTTGGCCTCTTTTATCTTCGCCTCCTGTCCTAAAACTGACTTATTTCGTGTGGGCTTAAGGGAAGGGTTTGAAAGGAACCTAGAACTATGAGGTGTAAGCAGTCCTCGGACTCACAAACACAATTGAGCCCAACGGTTCTGTTTCCAAAGAGGTCAGGGGAAACATTCCAGATCAACCAATCTCAACCTGACACCCTCCAGATGTGTTGATGTCCCCGCAAACACCAAGGTCCCTGGAGAATTCTGGGAATTGAAGTCCACACATCAGGAGGATACATGAGTGGGGAAAATCGTCCTAGGTAATAGCAGTAGCCATAGCAACAGCCCTTAGACTTGTGTACTGCTTCCCAGTGCTTTACCGCCCTCTCTAAGGGGATTACAGAGCCAGCCTTTTGCCCCCAACAATCTGGGTCCTTATTTGACCCACCTTGGAAGGATGGAAGGCTGAGTCAACCTTGAGTCGGTCAGGATTGAACTGCTGGTAATGGGCAGAGTTAGTGTGCAATACTGCGTTCTAATGGAAGGAAGGAAGGAAGGAAGGAAGGAAGGAAGGAAGGAAGGAAGGAAGGAAGGGTAGCCAAAGAGACTTATATCCCGCTTCCCAGTGCTTTCCAGCCCTTTCTAATGGGTTTGCAAAACCAGCCTTCTGCCCCCAACAATCTGGGTCCTCATTTTAGCCACCTGGGAAGGATGGAAGGCTGAGTCAACCTTGAACCTGGTGAGATTCGAACTGCCAAATTGTAGGCAGTCAGCAGAAATAGTCTGCAGTACTGCACTCTAACTACTGTGGCACCACTGAACATCATCATCACCGTCTTCGACCAATCCAGCTGGATAGTTAAGAGACAAAGTGCTCTTAACCACCATCTCGTAGAGTCTATATCCGTGATGGCGAACCTACGCCATGCTTGCCACAGGCGGCACATGGAGCAATCTCTGTGGGCATGTGAGCTGTCACCCCAGCTCAGCTTCATGTGCATGTGCGAGTGCCTCCTGCTGGCCAGCTGATTTTTGGGTCTCTGCTGCAAATGCATGCGAGAGACGTGCGTGCATGTGTGAGGGCTGCGCCCCCCGCGCCACGTTTTGGGTTTTAGGAGGCTTCAGGGCAGCCTGCTAGGCCCAAAACAAGGTGCGGGGAGGGGTCACGTGCACATGCGTGTGGGAGCGTATGGGGGGGTCACATGCGCATGTGTGTGGGGGCACCCATTATGGGTGTGGGCCTGCATGTGTGCGCTGTGGGCACGCAAGGACAACAAGGTTAGCCATCCCTGATCCATATCTCAATTTCACGGCCTGGAAAGTTGACGCAGACCTCGTGGTCTCTGAAAGGGTCTCCAAGGGAGATACTTACATGTGTTGGCAAGTAGAGGTCATACACGGAGCCGGAGTCCACGTCGATGGCATGGAATCCCACAAGGGACCCGTAGATAACTTTCAGCCGCTGCCCGTTCTCCACCGTCAAATCGACCAAGAGCGGCTTTTGAGGAAGCGAGGCGAAGGACTGCAGAAAGACAGATGATCAACACGTCTTCTGCCTTCACCACTGGGAGACCCACGACATGCAATTATCAACCCGGGTCTGAGCAGATTCCCACGACCATCTATGTCCAACCGAGGGACTCAAACGCGCAAGAGGATGGGCGTGGCATTGCCCGTGTGGTGTTGATCCCCATACAAAAGGGCTGGGCACGGATGGTGACCCCGCAGCTGCCCTCTTGCTGATCTTGACACCACCCCAAGGGACTCAAACTCCCTGCCTATCCACCTTCCAACTCCCTTATGAAGTAGACACAATAACAACAGAGTGGATATAAGTAGAAAGGCCGGCACAGGCAGAAATGCCAGGCACGAAGGGTCAGCCCCGTTCCAACACGAAAGATCTATTCAGGCCTACACACACAGTAAGAATCCACCCAATTAAAGGCCAGCCTTAGATTGGTGCCAGTTAAGGGTCAACTAGACTTGGAACATTTGTGGCAAAGTCAGGATTCTAGGCTGATGACACATTTAACTCCGTCTCCCCCGGCTCTTCTCCCACCTGAAACGCAAACGAGTGAAGAGTCTCGATAAAGCTGTAGCTGTGATGGAGAACCTGTGGGCACACGAGCCGTCTCCCAGCTCAGCTCCTCTGTGCATGCGTGCATGCCTCCCAGTGGCCAGCTGGTTTTTGGGTCTCTGCCGCACATGTGGGAGACAGGGGCATGCACGTGGAGGGGGGGTACATCTGTGTGTGTGTGGGTGGGTCATGCATGCATGGGGGGATTTGCCCATTTTTGGTGCCAGGAGGCTGCAAGATGGCCTGCTAGGCCCAAAACGGGGTGTGGCGCAGTGGTGAAATTCATTTTTTTTTAAACTACGGGTTCCATGGCGTGGTGGGCGTGGCAGGGGAGGGAGACTGCAAAATCCCCCTTCCCCCCGCACTTTGGGGCCAGCCAGAAGTGGCATTTGCCGGTTCTCTGAACTGCTCAAAATTTCTGCTACTGGTTCCCCAGAGCCTGTCAGAACCTGCTGGGTTTCAGCCCTGGTGCGGGGGTGGTTACACGTATGCGCGGGGTGAGGGGAGCACATGCCAATTTCGGCACACAAGGAGAGAAAGGTTAGCCATCCCTGAGCCATAAAATAGATTTACAACAGATTCGTGCCACTTCCCTCTCTCGACTGCCCTCCAGCCCCACCTCCTACAAAGCGGATGAAATGCAGTCGGTTGAAAATCTTTTCCCTTCGATTCTTCAGCCTCCATCGCAAGCCAAGTATCCCCAGGACCCTCAACAGAAAAGGCGCTAATTGGATCGATTTGAGTTCCGCCGTTTACCTTAAAAGCCATAAATTTGTGGTAGGGCTTGGGAGCCCAAGCGTAGACTTCCACCGAATTCTTCACGGCAATCACCAGGAATTTGATCCTCTCGTATTTCACTGGAAGGCAATCATTCCTTTTTTAATTGGCTGAGCATGAAGATGGAGAGAGCATTCTAAATCACTGTTTAAACAGCCAGAGCCTGTAGCCAAATGTAACAGGATTTTGATCTACTGTGAACGCAATGGGATTTGATCTACGATGCCGGAGAGAGTTGAGGGTCAGGCAAAGACCTTGCCCGGTTTATCCCAGGATTCCCGCTTCTGGATCTACTACAGTGGCTCCTCATTTGCATATTCATTCGGGAATAATTCAAAGCTAAAATGAACTGAAAGTAATCAAGCCCCAGCAGAATCATTATGCAATGACTTATGTTAAAAACAGAGCATCAATGATAATATAAATCTTGGTAGGATATTATCTCAACAGCCCGCTTCTCATTCTACAGATTGTGTGTAAATAACTTGTCTCCGCACACTGTATATAGTTGTAAGATATATTCTGGGATCCTGCGTTGCGCAAACAAGGGTTGCATTAACCTCCAAATCTAGATTGTGCCAATAAATAAACAGATTGGTTTCTGTCATGTCTTTCTGTCCTGAAATTGCTTCTGTGTATTTTTTATTTTTTTGTGCCGCATCTCATGTGCCCGTAATACTCAAAACCAGGGGTGTCAAATTCAAGGCCCAGGGGACGGATTCGGCCCGTGGGATGCTTATGTCTGGCTGCCCCCCCCCTGAAAATAGCAAACAACCGGCCCGCGGTGCCTCTGAGCTCCGTTTTCACTGGCAGAGGGTTGAAGGAGGCCGTTGCAGCTGAAAACGGAGCTCAGGAGCCCATTTTCTCTGGCACAGTGCTTGGGCCACCCCCTACACCCTGGACAAGAGTGACATCGAGCTGGCCACCCCCACTCTGGCCACCCCCACCCCCGTCCTCCCAGGTCAAACAAGCCTGATGTGGCCCTCGATTAAATTGAGTTTGACACCCCTGGTCTAATCCATCGAAGGGACAGCAGACTAGTCAGCCGTGTTCAACCTGAACTTCATGAATTTGACCCTCAAGGGTCTTCCAACTGGATGCCCACCAGATGCGCTGGATTTCAGTCCCCATAATCTCCAGGGCTGCTGTCTGAAGATGACAAGAGTTGGTTCAACCCATCTTGGAACCCCATGAAAAGTGGGTAGATCGAGTTATGGGATGTGGAGCAGCTTTGGAGAGATGGAAGCCGATCTGATGATCAGCTCTCAGATCTTCCAAGAGCACTGTGGGGCACTGTGTTATCTGGATAACGATGGGAAGGGGACCAGAAAGTTCTTCCCTTCTTGACGTCACCATCCCTTGTTGGAGAAATGAAGAGATGGGGAAGTGCATTTAAGTGCTGAGAGATGAAAGGACCTGGGTTGGGTTGGGGGCCTCTGACGCTGGGTTGTCTCCAGGACTACAACCTTGATTTTTTTAGAACAGAGGTCCAACCCTGGGGAGTTGTATCTCACCTGATATTGGGGTCTCTTCAACTGTGCACCCAAAGAACGACCCCCTTGATAGAATGACCCTCTGTTTTGCAAGGGCTGGGAACTAATGTTGGAATAAGGTACTGATCAGTATTGACTAGAGGGCACATTATGTGTACTTGTGGTGGGTTTTATTTCGATGCACCGTTTTAATGTTTTGATTGCTTTGTGTCCTTTCTCCCCCCCCCCCCCTTATGGATTCTTTTTTTTTTGAGTGAGGGTTGTATTTTGTATTTTGTATTTAACCTTGTCTTGAATAATAGATATCTATCTATTATTTAGAATATATAACATCTCAAATCCTAGCAGCCTTCTCAAGACAGAGAGAAAGAGAAAGAGAGAGAAAGGGTTTTCAGCAGCATCCATAAAGTGATATATCTATGTGGATTTGATAGATCGATAGATAAGAGAGAGAGATGGATGATAGATAGACAGACAGAGAGACAACACAGATATAAGGAGATAGATAGATGATAGATAGATGATATAGATAGATAGATAGATAGATAGATAGATAGATGATAGATGATAGATAGATAGATAGATAGATAGATATAGATAGATAGATGATAGATAGATAGATAGATGATAGATAGATAGATGATAGATAGATAGATGATAGATAGATAGATAGATAGATGATAGATAG